ACAACAACATAACCTCCTAAATAACTATCAAACGTTTTTTTTTCAGAAAAACTTTATATTTTGTTATTTTCTCTACCTTTACTTTATATGGGGTTGGTTGATTTGACTGACCTCGTAATCACCATAAAGAATTAGGAAATAAATCTAAATTACCCTTTTTGCATTTTAGAATGACTGCAAATTGTAACAGGAAATGACAAATGTTTATTCTAAATAGCTTAAATCCCATAACAGTATAAATTTATTTATATTTATTTTTGTTTTGTTGACCTTTGAACAATGTCTAACTGATCATCCTACCACACAAGTTGTACATGCAGCTTACATTACTGTTCTGAATAGCATAAAATTGGCCTTTACAAAGAACAAATGTATTACTCTTCTTAGTAGTAGTGTACCAAAATTTTGTAAAATACAATATAATTACTATTTACAAATTCTTAAATTTCAGTTATTTTTCTTAAAATATAGAACAGTGAATTAAAAAAAAAACAATGATCCCTGCTACTTATGATGCTACAAAGTTTTTTGTACTTGTGCATTGTGGAGAATGTAAACAAATTTTTTGTAGGTTTTGTATATCTATTTTGAAACAACAAAAAATTACAAGTTACTATACCGATACCACAAAATTCCACTGTAATTTGTCAGACTTCCTAACTAAGCTGTATTTGGGACTAAAACAAAAATCACATTTCCAGTCAGCATAATCACCACTCTTCAAATTCTGCAATGGTAATTATGACTTTAACTGTGTAAATATTTTAGAAAGACTGGAAAAATTAGGTAGTTCCAAATGAATGCTTTCGACTTGGTTTTAAAAATTTAACTGAGAGAAGTAAGTATAATTAAACAAGTATTTGCAAATGATGAAAAGGTGGGCAGAAGCAGAGCCACTGTGGTGAGTTTGCTAAACATAATATTTCAGAAAGTAGAAAAAGAGGTTCTTATTGTATATTCTAGCTTGTCAGTATTAATAATTTGAGTTTCTCATTCGTTAAAAACTGTAGACTTTACATGTTATAATTTCCACAATACAATCTGAGCAAAAGCAGAGGATGGTGTACCATGTGACTCGCAAAGAAAAAAAAAAACATCGATATTTAGCTTTTTTTTAAACACTTACTTTTGAACTAAGAAATTAAATAATGTATAATACTAAAATCTGAATTACATACCAGAATTTGATTCCAAATTTATGTACATACATTCATAAAATAGTAGTTTAATAAAATTTTGAATGTAAGTCTATGAAGTGTGATGACATGTGCTCTGATCCTTACCATATGTAAAGGATTAATAAATGCCAAAATACTTTGTGACACTAGTGTTAAAATATGAATTAATTTTTCAATTCCAATTCCCCATTAAATGAAAATTAAAACTACAAATAAGCTATGAATATGCTCTTCTTACCCACGTTGACTTGACGACTCTAAAGAATTTATCATCATTGAGACTGACGTGGTAATTAATTCTGTAAAAGGACTGGAAGAAGTTGTGGTCAAGGTTACACATGTAGATGATGGTGAAAAAGTTGACAGTAAGTTAAATCGTTTCTTCAGAGCACTCTTCTTGGGCACTGCTTTCAGCTGAGGTTCCTTCGCAGGAACTTCCTGAACAACACTGATATCAACATCAGGTTGTGGAATGAGCAAAACACAACTGCTATCTAGCTGTGGTAAGTCCTCAATATTCTCTATTGCAGAGTCTGAAAAGTTAAAGTGTATTTTAGTTATTTCTAAAAACGAATTATTATCCAAGTTTTTTTCTACCACTATTTAACTCTCTCAACACGGGCTCAGTCTATTTGACCAACCACGTGACCTCTTTTTACTTGATTAAAGTCTTTATAAGATTTAATACTTCTAACTTTCAATATAGTGTGTATTTCTTCACAAAATTTGGCAGTCTTTCAGTTCACATACTTTCACATACAAAAAAATCATATTTTATAGAATTATTTTTAATAAAATAAAGATTTGACTATGAATATATTGAGTATTTGTTTTGATTAGACTGTGTGCTAAGTAATTTTCATGTTAAAATTAAAAATACTTTTTGTCATCTTAAATTTCCTTTGTGTAATCCCTAAAACCTGCTTAATGCATTTTGAAACGTTTTTGTTTTTTTTTATCAGTAAAACTTTATAGTTTATCTGTTACTTTCTCTACCCTATCTCAAAACGGGATTAGTCAAATCGACTGACCTCGTAACCAGTAGAAACAATAGCAAAAACAAATTTTCGAAATTAACCTAAATTAATCTTTTTTTCTTTCTAGAATGACATCAAATTGAAACATGAAACTACATTCATTTATCCTAAGTAGCTCTAAGTTATAAGTTCATAACAGTATACATCTATTTATAATTAAATGTTATTGTTTTATTGCCCTTTGAACTGTGTAGTTTACCTACACTACACTACGGCATTAATAAATGCCAAAATACTTAGTGACACTTAGTATTAAAATATTAATTAATTTTTCAATTCCAGTTCCCCCATTAAATGAAACAAAATTGAAAGCTACAAAAATTATGGTTTGTTTGAGATATGGCAGTTAATATAGAGAAGGTTTATGACTGGTGATTTTGAATCATACTTTACATTACAATGATGTTTAAAATTTACCATTTGCTCTGACCTCACTTTTTTTTTGTCAGCAAATCCTGTATTATAATCAATCATACAACTCACATTACGCTATTGAATTACATTACCCACGAGCTGTTCGCGTGCGTGCCTCTTGAACCAAATTAATCATACTATTATTACTTATTTTACCTAATCTAGTCTTAAGTAACTTTAAAAGATCTGTATTTTTAGATTTTAGTTACTTTTATAATAATAAACAAAGAATAAGTAAGAAAAACAAGAAATATAATACTTAACCAATCTTTTTTCTTGCTCTCAGGTTTTCAAAGTGAGTTAACCCAAATTTTTTATACTATAGATATTACTGCACTTAATAATCTTTATTTAATTAAATAATGCACCAAAGAATATAGACAAATAACATGCAAAACATAGACAAATTCATTTATCTCTTAAAAATTTCCTGGCTTTCTAACTATGTGACAAGAGCCGTTAGAAATTCATCCAAGCTAGTAGCTATCTTTCCCATGGGAACGTTACTGATACTCTGAATGAAATTGACATTTAATGGTTCAGAACATAAGGTTATACTATACATCATTTGATAAATGAAAACCTTGACTTTCTATTGGTTATAGGTAATATATAATGAAACATAAGAGAGAACTATCAACAAATTGTGAAAGAGAGGATGTGACAGGTGGGTGTGGCAAGAGGGGTCTGATTTTCTATTCAATAGCTCTGTAACCAAACAAAATTGAAAGCTATAAAAATTATGGTTTGTTTGAGCAATAACGATTTTATAGATTATTTTACGTTTAACTTCGTACTTTTTCGAAGGGTGGTGGATAAAATTGGGATGATGACATGCTAAGAGAAAATATGTCACACTAGAGGAAATTCATGATATTTTTAAATATTGCCTTGTACAATTAAGAACTTAAAACTTGTATACTATTAAAATATGGATTATTAGCTAAGATTTTATGCTATTCTAATTGATATAACAGAAACAAAAAGTAGTTTAATAAGATTTTGAATGTAAGACACCAAAATCTTGTGTCATGCGCAGTAAATGGTACCTGGGGCATATAGATTCACTACTCTACATGCAACTACTTAAATGTCAAAAAGCATACAGCACTGTCTTTTATATCAACATCAATTTTCTTTATAAAATAACATTTGTATGAAAAATGTTTTTCTTAAATCTTAAAAAATTTGAGTACACCACAAAATCAGCAAAACCATTTATTCACGTTATGACTAACTTTTAGATTAATAAAAAAATCTCACCAGAAGAATCAATGGTTTTCTTTCCAAAACATGGTGATGGAGAAGAGAACATGGGTGGTGGAGGAATGGGTCCTATTTCATTAACACCAATCGGAGGATCTGGAAGAGCTGACCATGTTAAGTCTTCATCATTAGAGGGAACTTGTTCTAAGTTTGGCAAATCAAGAAGACTTGTATCAGGAATGACAGGTGAAGCTGAATAATGACAGACAAAAAAAATCTTAATCAAGTTACTGCTTACAGGGACTAATCAAGTCTGATTTGTAAGAAATGGGGTGCTATTTCTAGCTTACTTGTTTTCCTTAAATTGAAATGGTTCTTTCCATGGCATTAAAATGTAATGAATAGCATATGCTATACAGATATGGCAGTTAATATAGAGAAGGTTTATGACTGGTGATTTCTGAATCATACTTTACATTACAATGATGTTTAAAATTTACCATTTGCTCTGACCTCACTTTTTTTGTCAGCAAATCCTGTATTATAATCAAAATTTCTTTTGTAAATAAAAGAATTAGAATAAAAACTCTTTTAGTATCAGTAATGTAGTCTCTAATGCAATAAAAATGACTGGTCATTCATCCTAGGTTGCATATAATGGTCTCAAGATCATGATTAAGTTGTTACTTTAAAAAAGGATTACAGTTTAAAGTGCTCTGAAATATTTCACGAATTTTTAGGAAACACTTGAATGTTTCACACACATGGAGAACCATTCAATGAATGAGATCTAACCAATCACAGTAGAATCTTGGGAAATGACTACAAGTGCCTCAAACCTATGGTTCAGTGATGGCACAGGCAGAAGCAGGCAACTGTTATCTGTCAATAATAGGATACCTGTTACAAGACTAAATCAAATGTTTGCAGCCACAAATGAATATTTATTAGTAAAACTGATGAGGTACATTTCTGCTCAGAGAAAGGCACAAAACACCAAATCTGCATCCAGTCGATTAACATTCTTTTTTACAGATGAACCAGGTTTTACCTTGCAGCCAGACAACAGATGTATACTTATTTTGATAGAATCTGGAACAAGACGTAACATAATTTTTATATGGGAAAGTGATGCATATGGTGTTGGTGGAAGTTGTTGTTTGTTATTAAGCATAATGCTACACACCACGGATATGAAAATCTGGTTAGCGGTATAAGTTCCCAGACATACCGCTGTGCCACTGGAGGGTGTTGGTGGAAGTATGGTACAAGTGGGGATACGAATTGATGGACATACCAACCCCTATCCTGATGAAAAACACTATTAAGGCAACACTTCATGAGACCACATCTTACAGCCCACTGTGTTGTCACACATTGGTGTAACTGGGTCTACATCAACCTAATGGATGATAATGGTTGTTATTATTGTGATACATTGGTCAACCTGTTCTTTGAAAAAGAAGCACATGTAGCATGTTCCTAAAAGTAATATCACATCCTGCCAAGTAACTTAACAAAACACTAAAGATATTATGATACATCTCTTTCTGGGGAGTGTTTGAGAATACACATCCGACACTGGTACCAGCAGGTCATTTCTGTTTGTGATAACCATATTTCATATTGTAAACAACTGTCATGAACATTATAAAGATGTAAAGCCATCTTTACCAAATTGTTTTTTACAAATATTAGCTGAATGACCAATCTTCTGCATTTCAGATTATACAATGCATCGTTTAATGCCTGCATTACATATACATATATTATCTGAAGGATGAATTTTACGAGTTTTCATAGTTTAAGTATTAGAAACTTCAATCACCATTTGTTTTGTGTAGTGTAGCATTTGTAAATATTTCTTAATATTTTGTAGCTAAATAAATTCTCTTCGTAAATAATCTCTGGGAATACAATTTCAGCTAAAAATGACACTATTATCTACACTGTTCAGAAAATCAATACTCACTTAAAAAACAACAACAATTTAATATATATTTTCTGTGCATTTCCATATTACCAGAAATAAAAAATCTACAAAGAGCACAATGTTGTAACACATATCTGAACACATCACAGAGGACTATGGGAAATATTTAGACCTTAGAAGAGAACATAGTAAGACTAGACTCAGCAGTAAATCTTTCTGATGAGCTAAGATCAGTAAATATATATCAGAACTTTCAAACACTGTAAAGGTAGTTATACTGTTATGTCTCCGTTTGTTAATTAATTTTCCGTAACTTCGTTCCAACGAAACTTTAGCGACACAAGTCCTTACTTAATAAAACTGGTTTATTCTTTCCGAATACAACTGTACGATACACTTATTTCCAACAGTCGCTCTATAACAAACGCTATATCAACAAACGTAGCTCAATAATACTCTCTGACTGCAGATCAATTACTCACTAT